GTGCATGAGTGGGTTCTCTCCGGGTACTCCAGCTTCCTCCCACAGTCCAAAAACATGACTTAGGTTAATTGGCTTCTTGAAGTTCTCCTTAGGTGTGACTGTATGTGTGAAAAGTTGTTTCTTCTCTGTGTTGCAGTGTGATGGACCAGTGACCGAGGCTCTCGCCCATAGACAGCTGGAGATAGGCACAGTCCCTATTTCTAATAGTATGTGGTGTTGTTCCTCTCATTTGCTTCCCCTTTATTCATTGTGTGGTGGATGTGGTAACTGGTTGTTATTCCTACAACAGGGTATCTATACTTTTTGTGTGGTCAAATTCAAGTACTTTTCAAGGACTTTCAAGGTCAATTTCCAAGCTTTTCCAGTACCTTAACTTGTTGTAAATTGCGTAGAGTGATAGGAATTCACACATACACAAATTAGCAACACCTAGGAGTGCTCTACTATCACCCTGAAGTGAAATCAGCAACTGGAAACAATATTTTAACAGCAACTGAAACTTATGTTAAAAAAATGGTCTATCTGAAATAAAGTTCACAAATTAACCATGTAAAATACTATCTAAACAAAAAAAGGATTAAAGTCATTCCGATATATCCATATTCACAGACTTACATACAAAATAATTTTAGAGATCAGAGGGATGTAAATGATAACAAAATTTAGATAACAAAGGTTAAACTTGTTTTTATTTTGAAAAGTCCATGCCAGCTTTGGTACCGTAATTCATGGTGTACGCGTGACCGATAAAAATCTATCTGGCCGAAGATGGCTTCACCTCAGTCCACAATCAGGGCTGCTGACCAGCTAAACAGGACAGATGGTGGGAGGACAAACAGGCCAGCCTATTGGTCACACATAAAAATAAGAAGAAATGTAAAAAAACAACAACAAAAAGTACATTCATACTTAATCTTTCTATTTTCTACACAATTCTTAACTTTGTTTTAACAAATAAAAAATATAAAAAGCAGATAGATAGATAGATAGATAGATAGATAGATAGATAGATAGATAGATAGATAGATAGATAGATAGATAGATAGATAGATAGATAGATAGATCTTGTCTTCAGTACTAGTACTATCAATCCACATGTCCACACTCTGAGTTTTCTAGACATTTCTGTTGTTCCCTCTTCACATGTTTTTCTGTTTTCAAACCCATGTCTGTTAATAATGGTACACTGTCTCCCTCTAGTGGTAACTGTAGTAGCATGCAGCTCTGGAAGACTAATGCAATACATTATAAGAGCTTTCCAAATGTATTAGATTTTTACCAACAAAATGTTACTACCTATTTCCGGTTGAATAAAGCTAAAGCGTTTATTACTACTGAATTATGATGGCTCCAAAATGGTTACATTCTAATTCATTTCTAATAGGAAATATGTTTTATTAATTCCTTCTCTGTTACAATACTAAACTGAGAGGGGGCCAGCACGTACAAGCAGGGACGACTTTAACGACTTCCTTTAACCAATTACAGAGTTGCTTCAGTCAAAACTCAGATGGCGAGTGAAATTACCTCACACTAAAACCCCAACGACAGCAAATGCGCCAGAAAGCGTTCACTGCATGGTTTCTTCCGCAGCTTGACATGTTTCACTGAGTTGTTTTTTTCATCAACAATGACGACAACAGAATTATTTGGTTGACGCAAGTTTTCATGATGATAATGAGAACTGATGAGCTAAACGTTGATCTTTGTTGACATAAACTTGGATGTTCTGGGTGTGATAATCGAGAAGGTTGTGCGTGTCTGACAGAACACTGGTACTGCGCGCTGAACTCTGACAAACTGTTCTTCCAGCCGTGTTTGTGCAGAAATGCATCGTTGCGCGAGCAAGCATAGCTCAGAGTCTGCTCTTTTCTCTCTCCAAACTGCTGGTTTGTTCTCAGCAGTATGACTCTTCCTGCTCTCGCTACTTAATAAACTATTTGTGGCTGATTATCCTCTGCCAAATGTAAAAAAAAAACTTAACCTAACTATCAAGATTTTTTAACTTCTACCAAAATGAATCCCTAAATTATATACCCAAAGAAAATATTTCATTGCATACTGTTTATTTTTGAATAAAGAGCCAAGTGAAAAGGTACATAGATCTTTGAATATTTCTCTCTCATTGTTCTCGTTTTTATCTATTCAAATACGATGTAAATGTTTCCTTGTATTGTCGATAAAACACTTTCTCTGTTTCCTTTAAATATTTTAATATTTTAGTTAACATATTCATTCAATTAGGTAATGCGTTGTATGGCATTACAAGGCAATTCTGTAGGTTCCCTCTATTTTATTTCATTTTTTTAAATCAAAACCCTGTAAATATAAATCTACTCCGACCCCTGAGCAACAGCAACTTAGGTGTAAATTGAAGAAATAAAGCCAAAATTGCCAAATTAGAAAGAAGTATTTTTTTTTTTTTTTTTTTTGTTCTTTGCTTCTTTTGGAGTAATTTTATTGATCTGTGTGTGATGCATAATTCATAGTAGATCAGGAAGTATTTGCTTTACGATGGAAACCTGTACATTGTACATTTTGTCAGACTGTCTGTCTGCTATATTAACCAATATGAAGTGTTGAACTAGATTTGCTTTTTTCACAGCTTTTGTGAGACACTTTTTTTTTTTATAAAGAAGGACATTAATTCATGAAAACATTTTTTTGAATTTTATAAATCAAAGTTTTCTACCCAACTGCAATGATGAACTGCACAGCAGCATTCTATATCAAGCTATTGGAGAGCCGTCAGTCTGGTAAAGAATCTGGTTGTTATTTGAAATTGTAAAAGTTAACTTTTTTTTTGCAACATAAAACTGACTAAAACCTTTCTAATTTTTAGTCGACTCGAACCGACTAAAACTATCACATATCGTAATGACTAAAAGGTGACTAAGACTAATAATAGTTGTTGTTCTGAAGATTAAGCCTAAGACTAAATCTAAAATGGCTGTAAAAAACAACACTGTTCACGGACTACAGGATTACAAAAAATTAGCCTATCACTTTGTGTCTCATCTGTGCTTAATTGGGTAAAGCCTGATGAGGCCGACCCTTTTCAGTCTTACCTTTGAAATCAAGCTCTACCAGCTCTTCACCAGACTGATACCCAGTGTAGAATAATAGCTGGGAACTTAAAACGAAAGCAAGTTTCTCAGTGTTAAACACTGTTTTGCATCAAAGCTATTTCTGATTCTGTTACTAATTAAATATAAACTAATGTTTATAAAAATAAGTCAATTAAATACATTAAATAAGTAAATCCTGCTAACTTTATAACATCAATCTATTGTTTATGTTGTTAAATTGTCGTTCCCGGTACACATATATTTACTGTTTGCATATAAAGTGATAAAGTCTTTCCCATGTGCCTTAAGAACAGGTGTGCATCAGGATTGTTGTGTTTCTTAGTTTACAAAGAAATTCCATCATGTTGTTTTGGGTAAATATAGGCGTACTGGAATGCCAAGGTAAACACATCCCTAATGACTGCTATCTCTAATGAGGTGATGTTGTTTTTCAAACAGTTTAAGTAAATTTTTTATGTCAGGGGCAGGACAGTGTCAATTTACATTCAATTCGCCTTGAGTATTGTAAAAAGGAAAGCTAAAAATAGGTTCATTTTACTCTGCTTCAGAGAAGCTGTCAGATGAAAGGGATGTTTTTTGTCATGCAGCGCAGCATTTTAGCCCATTATTTTCTTCCTGCTGTGCTGCATGTTTCTTGGAAATCAGGAAGGGCTGACCATAATCAGACTCTGTCTAGGAGCTTGTCAGTGCTGGGAGAGATCATGTTGCTTTCATCTGCTGAAAGCACAACAAACCCCCTGAGGTCTGTTGTTTAAGCAAAGGAAATATCACAGATACCGTAAGTTTTAGGGACACTTTTTAGGCCAGTTTAAAGAGGCCTGAAATTATTTTTATTCTCTAATCTCTTTACACAAAGTTTTAATCTGACTCTGAATATTAATTGCAACCTGAAAAACATTTTTTTTAACAGTGTTTCTATTTTTGTTTTCACTGTTTTACATATTTTTTTTGTAATCCAAAAATAATGCAATAATTTTGCAACATTTTTTAAAAGACTACTTATCGTGTTTTCTACTATTTTCACGTTTTTTGTTTTGGGTGCTCGGACGTCTAAACGAAAGTGGGTCATGCTGGCAATCTTGTTTTTACTCTAATAGCCCAACTCATTTGGATGTACGTAGATAACATGTAGTATGGAGATGTTAAAACAACAATACAAATTACAGGAAGGAAACTGTTTCACTGTGGGAAAAGCCCTGATTGCTGGTACATGGGTTCTTAGCTAGATCTTTGCTGCATTTTTACAGCAGTTAACCAAAAGGTCATACTGCTTTACACCACTGTTCCACTGTTTACTTGCTAATTGTTTGTAAGATTTGAAATGTTTTTATAAATATGGCATGTAGGATTGTCAGACATTTATCATAAAGGAGATTGATTTAAAAAGAAAACTCTCTAAAATAATTGTGACTAAAGAGACAAGGCATTTGATTTGATAGATTTATATAAAACAGGACAATAGAGTTAATAAAAAGAAAGTCCACTGGCCGTGTTTAAGGAAGCAAATGAAATGCATGAACATAAGTACAACATTGACACACAGCTATTAAGAAGAGTTTGAACAAGACAAAAGGACACTGAGAAATATTACAGGCCTGCTTAAATTCATGCATATAATCAGAAAATCAAAGCAGTCTTGTTTAAGGAATCGTTAAAGCAAAAATGAGTGTGATTTTTTTCACTACATCAATATAAAATGACAAAGCGAGGCACTCATAATGCAGGAAAATACAGTTTTGTCTTAATTTCAGTGTTAGAAAGTGAATGCTTTCCTTTAAAAATTTGAATTTTTAAGTGCCAACTGATACATAAATATTAGAAGCAACCATTTAATGTACAAAACTAAAAACATAAGAATAAGCGGTAACAAATGCATAGCATAATTACAGTTTAATGACACCAGTGTGAGACCAGTGTGAGACTGAACAGTCTTTGCAGTCATCTTTACAAAACAATAAGGTCGAAGTAGAAAGCAAAGAAGATCCATATAATCTTAGAAAAGTTCACACTTTAGAAATCAACTTTTACAAAAGAAAATTACATTGAGTATTGCATTTTTCACATTTTTACATCATGGAATGGAGGATAATGCTACTATGGATAGTTATCTCACAGTGGGATGTGGGGGTCCAAGCTTTCCTGTTAGACATAATTGTCCTTAATGTTTTTAGTGGTGAGAAGCTGATTGGTACTTATGGATTCGGCTGACCCTCTGGACCCCCCACATCTCCGAAGACTCAAGATGACTCCACCCAGAGCAGTCAGGAATCCACCCGCCAAGCTGACGAACACTGCATGACCAAATTCTTTGCTGCAAAGGACATACACAGATTTAGATGCATGTGTGTTTATCAGGTTGTTAATCCATCACTCTTCTCTGGATATACTTACTTTATAAGAGAATGTGTGGTCTCAACAGCCACACTGATGTACCAGGAGGTGATGATGATAGTTAAAAGACCTAAGAAAGGGAAAGATTTGTTACAAAAAACTAATTGTCAAATTTAGTTAATTAATCATTATTGTCAGAGAATAGAAATAAAAAGAAAACAAAAGCAAATAGGAACAAACTGCAAGTTAGAGGTGATACTTTCATGCAAATGCATTTAAAATGTTTTTTGTAGGTAAAATAGCAGCTTTAATCTTCACACTTACCACTTTGCAACAATCTTTTTGACAGTATTCGTTTTTCCCTTCTTTCTTTTTTTTAAATCATAGAAGGGAGTTTTTTTCTTTGATGATGCTTTAATTTTTCTATTTGTGTCTCTTACTTTATAGCTACTGAGCTCAAACAAAGTTAGAACAGGGGAAAACTTTTAGATTAAGCATGCTGACACAGCATCCCTAACAGAGTTAATCAGTTGGTCAGCTGTGTGTTTCCTCACAATGTGGGGATTTTTTTTAATGTTGTCACAGATTTCCTAGCCCTAAAATGTCATCATTTTGTTGTCATAGTTTCCTGTACAGTTACGCTAAAAAAGTGATTTACTTCCACTCATGTTATCCAGCTCTATTCAATCCTATATTTATCACATTGTATTGGTTTGCTAAATATGCATTTTGATAAATAACCTTCCACTTGAATGAGGATTTCAAAGCTGTTATTTATTCTTATTTTATCGTATTTCATTTTGCCAATTACTATAAAAACATTTGGCTTAAAAATTGGAAAAACAAGATAGTATGTTTTCACATAGACAAGTGATTTTCTTAGATGAGGGCAAACCCTCTGTCTAGCCACCCCAACCAGCTAAACACACATACTTCCCTTATGCTGCTCAATAAAAAAAAAAAAAAAAACTGTATTTAAACAGCTTATCTAGAGCATTAAGAATAGAAAAAACGATCTTTTGGACACAGATATTGTGCAGTTTTAATTTAATCAGTTTTAATGCATCTTTTGATCAGAGGCTGTCGCCTATTATTCAGTGCACTCAGACAGTAGCAGTTTAGAGTCATCTTTACCTGCAAGCTGATGCACACAGAGCAATACTAAAATGGCTCAAAATGTAATTTCAAACTAATTCACAGCACAATTAGTTTTGCAACTAGGCCTTAAATTATTTTAGATTAATTCAACATCGCATGACAAGGGACATTTAACAATAATAGAAGTTAAACATTCATCACCAGCCCCCAAAGTTCAAGTGTGATATATTTATATAAAGGCCATATTCATCTTATTTACCTGAAATGATAAACAGTATCCCTCCAACGATAGTTGCTTTCACTTTGCTTTGAGGTACAGCTTCCATGAAACGGGTGCACTTCATCCCCAATACTGAGGATATGAGCGCCATGGCAGAGAGGAAGAGGCTGACCAGCATCACTGATCTTGTCGCTTGGATATGAGCTGCAGGAACAGAAAGGTAGAATGTTTTCTTTTTTATATATATAAAGACATATACATATACATTTTCAGTCAAATTTATTTTGCACACAAAACAGAAAACTATTTTAATCCAGGAGCACATTTTAAGGAGACACAATCAGCAGGTTCATACTTACTTGGCACTTTCAATATATGCTTGTAAAGTTCACAGTTGCTTTTCTCCGCGGTGCCACTGCAGCTCATCCACAAACCATCATAGACAGGATTTTTTCCTTGAGTTTGTTTCCCCCACTCCACCATGAAAGTGGCGGCAATAGTTGCAGAGACTCCAACCAGGGAGATAAGAAAACCAGCGACCTGCAGTCCAAAGCTTGCCATTCTACCCAAATGAAAGCACAGCGGATGATTTCAATTAAACCAAAGGACTTGAAGCTCAGCTAAAAAATGTTACAGGTTATATTAAAGTGAGTGGTTGCTTATTGACTGAAGTGTCTGTCCTCTAAAGGATGCTCTAATTGCTGCGCGCAGCTGGACTCCTTTATTTATAGCTCCAGGCGCATGACGCATGACGCATGGGAGGCTCATCAGCTGCAGCGGATGCTGAGTAAATGTAAACATGTTCTGAGCACTTCTTATCAGATGAATTCATTGGTAATATCTAAAATGATAAAATAATTACGGTAAGCAGACAGTAATGAAAACATTTATTTATTTGTTTATAGGAAAGAAAACCACAGTAGCCTCCTGAAGTCATAAAATTAATAATGGTATAAATGAAGCTTTGCATAAAATTAACATATAAATATCCAACAAATGTATGAAAAAGAGAACGTTTTTATTTCTAAAAGATGTAATAACCATTGCTAAAACAATAGTAACCATAGGAAAACCCAAACCAAATAATGTTTTTTTTTCAGTTTATTTCTATTTATTTGTGAAAAATGCCTTGAGACATATAGCCTATAGTGAATTGCCACTTTATAAATAAACTAAATTGGATTAAATCCTAATTAAAGTGGAAAAACGGGTTCTTAACATTTTTTAACATTTAGAGTAGGAACTGTGTTCATATCTTGTGTTCAGATCTTTCATAACTGTAATTTATGGAGTTTGCTAAGACTCATTTACCTGATTTTAACATTTAGATCTGTCTAATAAAGAAAAGTTTCTGGAGTGTTAAAGTATCTTCATTCATTCTATTTGGGCAGAAGTTTCTAATCTTGTATTTTTAAGGATTAAAAACAATGCCTTTGCCTTTTCTGCATAAAATAATGAGGAAGTTCTGATTCAAAAATTTATTGATATCATAAGCACACTTACTCATTGGGAACATGGAAGTTAAATCTTAGGTCAAGTAGTGATTCAGTGCTGTAATGCTGCCGGACATCAACATATATGGTAAGATATGTTGTCATACTTTTATATGTTAACCAGTTGGACAATATTCTGTAATTATTAATAATAATTTTCTGGGAACATGGCCTTGCAGTGCCTGAAATGTGATATTTGTCTGTTCATATAAAATTAAATGGTAAGGCTTTAGCAAGTAAACTTCGCACCCCTCTAACAGCAAACACCTAAAGGCCCTTTCTTTAGTCTGTTAATACAATCAAACTATTTCTAAAGCAATGTTTGGGTTCAGTAAAACATATAGAACACACGTTTCAACCTGGAAATAAAAACAGAAGCCAAGCAACAATTAGAGGGTTTTATTGATGTGAGAAATATAACCTTTGTTAAGACCCTGGTGGAAAACGTAAGCGTTAAGAATTGTGATGTCATGATTGAATGAGTGAATTAGGATGGGTACGTCTCCCCACCAGAGGCCTAACAGTAGATTTGGAATGGCGGCCAAAGGAGGAAAGTAAACAGATGAAAACAAGGATGATAGCAGAGATGGGGTTGAGGAGGGTTGCAGTTCCATGGTGCAGAAATGCCATTGGTGGAACAGTGCAGCAGAGTTCTAGATGATGATTGGCTCTGGCAGAGATGCGGCACAAGCCTGATAGACCTGTAGTAATAAAGCACCAGAGGGAGACTGGATGAGAGGTGATCCTGAATTAAGCTTTTCACTTTAGATTTTCACTTTAGTTTCATACCTGTTAAGGTGAAAGTTGTAGCAATTTAAAATCTTTGCTAACTTAAAGGTATAGTGGAGGATTTTTGCGAATTTTTGAAGCCCCCTACACTTAAAAAAAATGCACATACACAACCATGCACCTTCTCACGAGGGTCTATAAAACACGTGCAAGAGCATGCACGACCCTATTTCTCTTCGTGAACACTCTGTTTAAAAGTTTCTGTTAGCATCGCTCATACAAGCCAACTTTCCTAAAGAAGATTTGCAATTTTCCCACTATGGGCCGGATCTATCAAAGGTTTGCGTGTATAAAAACGTGAGCTATTTCACTGCGCACGCTAAAAAATGTACAAACTGATCTATCAACAGCGTGCTAAAAGGATTTGGTCTTTAAAACGTGCTAAATAGCGCCTCTTATCCATTTAGTACTTTTTCTGCAATGAATATGCAATATGGGGCGTTTACACGCAAAAGTGCATCTTGTGGGAGGAGAACATGTAAATATATTAATTTAGCACTCGCAAAGTGATTTATCAAACCTGAAAGCAATTTTGCTAACGGTATCTGACTCTATATTTAACACGTTTCAAAAGAAGGTGCAAATGGTCTGTATGCGTAATTGCGCAATGCGCACACATGGCAGCGGTTATTGCCGCAAGAAGGAGACATGGAAATGAAGCAAGGAGACGCAGAGAACGCATTTTTTCACTCCGTGTGAATATTTTTGGAATGAACGAGGAAACGATCAAAACATATCGTTTATCCAGCATTGCCATTTTGGAGCTGCAATTCCAGTGATTTGCTCCTCACAGAGCGTCAGCTGTACTTGCTCCTCAATGCTGGTCAGAGGCATCTCATCTACTGTGCGCCCTCTTTTTTTGTTCGCAGATGTTTTGTTATATGCCAGTTTTTCTTTGGTTCGCCTTCTAATATCCTGGTATCTTCTTTTTACTTCATCCACTGTTCGCAAGGTTTCACCAACAGCGTTTACTTTATTACTGATTTGTTCCCATATAGAGTTCCTCTGTGTGACAGGCACACTTCTTTGCTGTAGTTCACTTAAATGTTTGTTGGCTTCATCCACCAACACCTCCATTTCCATGGGGTCGAATTTCCATTTGCGCCTTCTGCTGTCCAAACTCGCCATGCCGCAAACCACCAAACGCGCAAAACCATCATTTAAATAGGGCGTCTCCAACAGTTTTGCACCTGCCACCAGTTACGCAATCGCTCTTGTTAAATCACCCGCAAACCATGGTTCAGCCCCTCGCGCAAAATTCCAGTTTGCGAGCGCAAATTACTGCACGCAAAATTGGGTCTTGATAAATCCGGCCCTATGTCAGACTCACGTGAAAATATCACCACTGGATATTTTGATCGTTGAGTCTGGTGTTCGGTACGTAACATTCCTCAACTTCCACATTATGGATATTCAATTCAGTTTATTTATATAGTGCCAATTCCCAACACATTTCATCTCAAGACACTTTACAGATACAATAAAGGCAGACTGATTAAAAGTTTTTGTCAAGGAAAACCAGTTAATTGCTTTGAGTCTTTGACTTTCAGGACATGATATGGGAAACTGTAATAAACTAAAAACTTAAGACAAAGAAAGAAAGAAGTTTTAAAAGCCTCCAGTGACAAGTACGATTTTTGCTTCTGCATCTAATGATCTTTAGAGTAGACACTAAACTTAAACTGCATGTTATTAGAGGTACTGTAGGCCTAAGGCAGACAACCAGCAGGGGAGCCAATGAAAATGCAAACTTAGAAACACTTGAGATTCCTGCCTACGGTCATTGCTTTAAGTGTCCTCTGTTCTTATTTAATAAACAAAGTAGGAGTGCTGGGTTGAGATGTTTTAATTCTTCTGCATTAAATATTAGTGCCAAATAGTGAGTAAATCAGTGATCAAATCACTGAACTGCTGTGCTATGAAGATAATGACAGGATTACTAAAAAAACATTTTTGACAAACCGGTGTTTTATATCTGACAACATTTTTTGCATCCCTGGTAATTTAGTCAAAGGATCATGGGAGATGTGCTTTGAGATATACCATGATGTTCCACATTGTAAATGTGTCATCATAAGAGAATTCCGCTTATGCCATCCACTTAGCTCTATCATAGATGTCCTTATCAGTTTAAAGGTCTTTAAGCATCTTTTCTAGAGAGAACATCATGCAACAATAAATGTAAACCTGTCTAAGAGCAGTTCTTTCACCCAAATAACTGTAGGTGAATGGCCTTAATTGTAATTCCTCCTCCTTGAAATCTACAGCAGAATGTTGGTATTTTTCTAAATCAAGTCTTCATTTCATTCCAAGTTATCTGATTATTCGACCATATTTGGTGAGGAGGATGCCAGTTTGTAAACAATTGAATTTGCTTCATAGATTGTAATCCTTCTCCACCCTTTCCTGAAACGATTCTCCAGCAAAACATTTCTCAGCAGCTCACGTTGTACCTCCCATCAGGATTTCTGTTAAACATGTTATGGAGTAACACTTCATTAGAATTATTGATCTTTATCATCTCATTCAACAAAGTCTGACCTGCAAGCCAAAGGTTGCTCATTTCTAGAAAACTCCTTTGTTAACCTGCAGCCAACAGATATTACCGGATTGCAAACAATATCAGGAAATCTGCTGCACGTGTAATGAGAGTGTTAGTAATGCGTGGTGCAACTTCAAAACCCTATTAATGCACAAAAGAAAAGTGCTTAATGTTCTTTAAGCAGGTGTAACTTCTAAGAAAAATACCCCCCCCCCCCCCCCCAATTTATTTATTAAATTGTTGACATGTGTGTCATTTATCTGAATGCTGTTTTACATTAAGGGAGGATCTATTTAGTGATTAAGAAGCTAAATAAAAAATCATTATTCCCGTTTATAAGTGTGCATAGAATGGAAATTGTGAGCTTTATCAGGTAATACTACTGTAAGTAAATTATGGTTATGGTGGACACTTCAATTCAATTAAATATTTTTTTTTTTTTCATTACCTGGGAGGAGCTCGGAGTAGAGTCGTTGCTTCTCCATGTTGAAAGGAACCAGCTGAGGTGGCCCGGGTATCTATTCCGGATGCCTTCTGGTCACCTTCCTCCGGAGATCCAGGCATGTCCTATTGGGAGGAGGCCTCGTGGAAGGCCCAGGACACGCTGGAGGAACTATGTCGCTTAGCTGGCCTGGTGTCGCCTCAGGGTCCCCCCAGAGCAGCTGGATGAAGTGTGTGTGGATCAGGAAGTCTGGGCATCTTTGCTTAGCAACCCTGTCTTGTATAAAGCAGAAGAAAAGGGATGAATTGATGGATGGATATATACACTGAAATTATTGTAAAAAAAAAAAAAAAAACATTTTTAATGATTAAAACCTAAAAAATAATAGCAGGACACTTTCAGAAGTTGATCCTTGGTCTACTTGGGAA